CGATAGCAAAAACTCGAGGAGGCGAAATCAGGAAGCGTGACCGCAGTGGTAAGAGAAAGTCTCATATAGTGCAGAAGTCAAAATTATTTTCAGTGCCGCTTTGTCCTATAGGTTACACAGGGATAGATTTTGCCAGAATTCGGACGGCCATATCGACTGCGGACCGCCAACACAACATTTTTTTCTATCAAACGCTAATTTATCAGATGCTAGTTTTTCAGTGTTCAACGCTATTCTTAGAATGACTTTTTCAAATAAAATTCCCGAGACTTTGCCGCACGAATCAGCGCGTTGGCCGCTCCGATACAAGTTTCAAAACCAAGCAAAACCCCAGAGCACCATGTAAAACATAAATTATTCCAACACGATCTTCCAAACATTTCTGAGAAATAGCAATATTTATCTAATTTCTGTACAGGGTAGCCGTAACAATCAATAAACATGACTCAACAAACAACAGCGTAAACCTATGATACCTACGCTATGGATCAAAACCCATGAAACTTTTCATAGCTGCAATCGGATCGCCGTTTACCTCCACCAACTTTCTTTCCACTACGCTCTGCAAACAGATTTTTCCAAAGCCAATCCACTGATACAAAATTAGGGATACCTTTGGTAGCTCCAGTTCATTCATGATCATTTCTAAGTCGTCCTTTTTGATATTGATGATCTTTTGTCGTACCTGAAATAGACGAATGATATCATACTGCCCATAAGGAAACATGCGGTCATTTATCACCTACCACGGCTTCGAAAGCGCTGTGCGGGTAAATAACAAGTATTACGCTGATATGATGCTTGATAGCGAAGCACTAAGGTTTCATAGTTCACGCGATTTAACCGCCTTGCGATTCTCCCAACAAGAAAAAATGTACAAGTCCGCTGCATGCCGATTTTCCTATTACATTCGGATTGAGGTAGTTCTCCGATGCGACCTACCGTGACTAACTATCACAACCGAAAGCAAGGCGACATGCAATGGATCGTAACAATTGTCTGTCGGAAAAATTGCGAGGCGATGAAATCGCATGAACTATACCCAAGGCCTGGGGACAACATGGCTGATATGGCTATGGCCTGAGTGCTGTGCTAACTGGTAAGGTGACTT